CAGGAAATGATAAATGTTCTTTTCTCTAAACTAAGAGCTCTTTTTTTTCCCCATGGAGATAAGGAGTTTGCCATTTAAGGACCCAGACTTAGCTGACTGCCACACTGTGTTACTACAGGTTAGGGCAGAGGCAAAACATGCTCCAAACCACACATCTGTTCCAATGATACAAGCACTGTCTTGACTCCAGGGTAGTTGCCAGCATAAAATTAGAGCAGCTTTGCTGCTGTCCAGACCACTACGAGGTGCTTCAGGCACCTGACAACCACCAGGCTCTAGGAGGAAACCGCCTCTGGTAGCAGAGGAAGAACTCCTGGTTCCTAACTGAAACCCAAGTGGGTGATGCAAATAGTATTTTCCTAAAGAAGGAGACTGCCCAAGAGAACCAGTCTTCACAAAGCACCTGGAATCAAGTAAGTTGCAGCTGTAGCTCAAAGAATTTGGCAAGAAGCTACTTCCATGTGAAACAAGATCAGAATTTCAAAGATGATGCTAAGTTATTTTAACAGCTAAGGAGGAAGTCGTATAAACAAAGTCCACAAGAATAATTTATAGGAAGAGCTCACCTCCACATCATCTGCTTCAACTAGTATCTATCTCATTTTTAGGGCCAATAAATCTTGAGTCAAAACATTCCTATGTGTGAGGTACTCATTGCTGAGATCAAGCTGTTTATTTTCATATTGATCCCATAGTTTGTCTGCTTGTAGTCTGGATATTTTCCATTATTATTCCAGATCTCAAATTTTACTCAAAAATCAAAACTATTGTACCTTCAAGAGTAAGGAATCTACCTTAACAGTTTCAAAAGTGAAATTACTGAAGAGCAACAAACTTCATGCTCAGCCCCATTTTGGAAAATTCCCTTTGATCTCAATTTTTTTTTAAACCTTTTCCTGGCATGAGTCTCAGATTAGGAAGTTGGCTATGCAAAAACATTGTGGATGGCATCTGCAGCACAGATGAAGCTCTTGGAAGGGTTTGCACAATAGCTGATGAGGTATTTATTTACTTGCTGATTTCCACAGCAGTGTCTTGGAAAAATGCTTTAAAATTCGGGGTGGGGAGGGAGCCTTTTGAGTTCCAATTTTCATAAGGGGCAAATAGTTAACAAATAGAGGAACTGCTGGGTGGATCAAGCCCATGATCCACTTAAGTCCAATTTCTTTGCTAAGTGTGTCCAGCACCAAACTGCAGAGAAAGGGTAACATCCTGATAGTAGGTACAAATAGGATAACATTCCTCCACAAGTCATCCCAACTGGCTTGTATCCTAGATCAAGAGACTGAATATACCCTTCCCAAACTATAGATAGTTAGTCAGACAGAAGCCTGTTCTTTTTTGAATCGTACAACATTCCTGACTTCAGTTTTAAATACCTAAGAGACCTTAACATTTTCAAAGGAGGAGTGCTTAGCATTTTCTGAAATTAGGCCTGCTAAGACATCTGAAATTGGATGCCTAAAATCAATAAAGCAGTTTTGAGAATTAGATTATCATTATCTTAGTGGCCATCAAGCACCAAATGGCTAGGTCTAGGTAATTCTGTAGCATAACCCTTGGAACTGTGGACGCCTTCTCATGTTTAGATCATCACTCACAGCCTTCACTGGTTGTGAAAGGGTGTTACGTAATGTCCCCTAGGAGCTCTAATGGTGCGTTAAGTGGAATTTGCTATCATTGGCAGTCTAAAAGCAGAAACAATTAAATGTTTAAACATTTGTCACAACTATCATGAGATCATCACAAACAGTAATTACATAAGACTGCCACTGAATGTCTTGGTTTGACATTACTGACATCTCTGGATATCAAATGAAAAATGATTGTTTACTTCTGACGTTTTTCACGAACGTGTTTTGGTACAAGGGGCCCATGACTTATGTAACGTAACTCAGTCGGCACTTCCCATGCACTTTTCCATTTCCTTCAGCCTTTTCACAAACTCTTGTGCTTCCTTGTCCATCCGTCCCTCCAGCATCTTCAGTATTGACTTAACTAGAGAAAAAAAAAGTGTACAAAAGGTCAGTTGCACAGAACCAAGTAATTAACATTTTGAAGCTAAAAGTTCACACAAAGGCCAGCAGTAGATGATTTAAACAAATAAAAGAAAGCAATGGGAATACAACAGAGTTGCCTGGAGTATGCAGACATGAGACATCAGTGCCAGCTGGTTATGTGAATTTTATTCTTGAGCAGACAGGTAAATGTGCAATTAATAAACCTCTAGAGTAATTTTCTGGTCCTACGATCAGACAGGAAATTAAGGATTAAATTCATAAGGCCACAGCTGCAGCTCTGACACCTTCTGAAACTAACTAAGGTACACTTCAAAAGAGAAATTATTCAGAAAATGTGTCAGTAAGAACTATATTTGAATAACAAATTATTGTTAAAGGGTGCAAACAAGCATTCAAGGGACCTAGTTTGGTGTACTTAAGCCACCTAAACTTCAACCAAAAGCAGCACAGACAACTCAAGGTAGGTAACTCAGGGCGGGGGGCAGGGCTGGTGTAGCTCCAAGTCCAGTAAGGCTCAGTAAGTCATTATTATGGGGATAATATGATAAAAGGGCATGGAGACAAATGCAAATAAGAAAATTTAACAGCTGTGTGGCACGCATGAATAGAGAATATGGAGGAAAATTAGGAAGAGTGGAGAGAAAAAGCTCAATGATATGTTACCATTATTAGCTTTTGGTCTTGTCAGTTTAAGAACAGTTGGCTGAACATTTTTCAAGCCACCAGATACTTCAAGTTCATTCAAACCACAGATCAGATTCATTGGCATGACAGCTTCTCCAGCAAAATCATTTGATGACAGCCAGTCATGATCCATCACTGTAAACAGAATGCAGGCTGCCCGTCTCCTGCATTGTTTATATGTAACTGAACTGCAAGGAAGGGGAACATTTAACAGCAAATACATTTTGGCAGGATTACCTTAGGGCAAAGATTTATTATAATGTAAAAACCACAAAATGTGTTCTCTGTTAATCACTTTCAATGCACACAAGTCTATAACATGTATAATCTATAGCATCTCTTCTGACTTCACTGTTCATGTGGATGTAAAGTGAAAACAAAATCTGGCAACAGGCACTGGCTCTATATTCCTTTTCTATACTCTCAAAAGAAAATGGTTTAAGAAAAGTGTAATGAAATTTGGCATTCTCTGCTTAGGACTGGTCAGCAAGTGGTGCTGCAGTGTGGGACTGAGGGATATCAGCATGCTTGTTTCAGCACTATGTACATGTGATATTCGTTCCTCAATATTCATAAAAAAATATCACAAATCTAAAACTGCAGCTTCTAACGCAGGAAATAAAGAATATTTTACACACTCACAAATGGAAGAGTTCGTCATACACAGGGTTCAGAGTTTTGGCCTTAACTTGTGTTCTTTGGCTTTTTACCATTGGGAAAACATGGTGAGGACAAAGCTCAATGATGACAAAAGGGTCACTGAGACCTAAAAGAAAACAGAAAAGAAAATAAGTAATTAACTAGAGTCTAAAATTGCCACCTCAACAATACCTGTATGATGGTCATTATGCACTCAAATGATGCACCACTTTTGTTTGAGCGCATTATGTCACAATATCCCGCACCACTCCACATAAGCATGTTCAGTAACTTTAAAAATGTCTGGCTGGGTCAGAAATTTATGAACTACTTACCCAATGAGCATCTAAAATTAACATAATCAACAGCTCCAGCAGACTATTCTGTTCAACTTGTTTGGCATCACTTTTATCCAACTGCTCCAAACTGTTCTACTGTGAGCATCTCGACACACTGAGGACAACTGTTCTAAATCCCTCGTATGTTGAAATTTTCAGCAGAGCAAAATTCAGGCAAAATGAATCGTTATGATAGTCTGTGGCCAGCAGTCATTACTACTTCATTAACAGACAGTTTTCTAATAGAAGGAATTAAGAGATCCAAATGGCTTTCATCTACACAACAAAATGAAAGCAGGGTCCTTTTTTCTGCTGTCTTCAAATAGGAACAGGTTTTAGATTATACACTTAAGGGTTCAAGCAGCCTTATATTTACCACTTAATTTTAATTCAGCTTCACTCTCTATTGATTCATTACCATTAGCATCCAATGCTATGAGGTCTGCAGCATGCAAGACTTCAACGTGGAGTTTCTGTTCAGAAGCTTCATAATAACATTTCACACTTATTCGCCCATATTTGCTTTGATCAGTTGATCTCTGGAATAGAAAGAACAAGCAACGGAAAACTTGATAGCATAATTAAACTGTGTTACTCTACTGCAAACAGAACTGATGACAGTTCTCTCCCACATCACAATAACGGGTGATAGAAATTAGAGGTACCAGATAATGAGAGACCACTAACTATGACAAGATTAAAAATACCAGGATTTCTTGGGATATACCTAGCACTGTGTCCCCACTGCTACTGCAGAGGGACACTCCAGTTCATGCTCCTCCCATCTGTTCCTGCTTGCATGTGCCAAACCTGAAAATGCAACAGTTGATGCAGCTCTGGGGACACTTCCCACAGCTGCTCTCAAGTACACCAGGGACAAAAATCTCAAGAGCACACATAAGCAAACACCCCAGAGAGCTTCACTGATGCACTTCCAGACCTAGCATGCATAAGTGGGATTGGTCAGCAGGGCATACTTGGGAGTGCCTTCCCCAAGAGCCCTGAGGTCTGTGGCGTAGATACAACACTCAAGGTAGGAATAGACATTGCCTGACGTCTCATTTGGGCTGCCACTTTTTTTTTTTTTTTTTTTTTGGGGGGGGGGGGGGGCACAAATAAATGTCACTTCCCTTTTTTGTGCCACATCAGAAGAAAATCTGCTGCTGTATTTCAGTGGACGTCAATAAGCTCTGTGGCGAGAGTGCAGGCAACTTAAGTTGCTTGCATTCTCCAGCCACTGTTGGCAGGTGCTTTGGGGGCCTGAGGGCCCTGCAAGCCGCCAGAGCACCTATGTGGGGTCCCCCTGCTTACAGAGAGGCACCCTGGGCAAGCTCGACACACTTGTCTATAAGTGGGGAAGTTGGGGTTGATCTCCAGGGGCAGGTCTCTGCAAGTTGGGAAAGCCTATATGGGTCCAGACAGGGAGGCACAGGATGCAGGGAATTCCCAGTGCCCATGCCTCCACTGGGCACCTGCTTACCCAGGTCTGCCCTTGGAATATCTGGCAACTCATCTGTTTAAGGAGGGAAAAATCAAACTCTCTCTGTTCACCCAGACCCATCCCCACCATGGCTCACCAAAAGCATTCGGGAAAGTCTCCTTGCTAAAAAGGAGGCTTACCCCCAATGGAAAGGAGGGGTCATCACCAAGGAGGACTATTCAGCAGTTGCTCGGGGGTGTAGGGGGGTAGTTAGGAAGGCCAAGGCAGAGATGGAACTGGGACTAGCTTTCCGGATTAAGGACAACAAGAAGTCCTTTTTTTAAATACATAGAGAGTAAAAAGAAGGCCCCGGGTAATGTGGGGCCCTTGCAGGACGCGACGGGGAATCTGGTTGTCACACCAGACGACAAAGCCAACATATTTAATAATTTCTTTGCCTCTGTCTTCCTCAGTAAGGACCAGAACTGCCACCTCCCTGCTAGGCCCCCATCGGGCCCCGAGGGAGGCACACCTGAGCCCAGGGTAAGTGAGGATCTAGTTAGGGAGCTGCTGGAGGGGCTGGACGTTTTTAAGTCAGCCGGTCCGGATGATCTCCACCCTAGAGTTCTAAAGGAACTGGCCGGGGTCATTGCGAGTCCCCTGGCGCAGCTTTATGATCACTCGTGGTGCTCTGGAGAGGTGCCGGAGGACTGGAAGAGGGCCAACGTGGTTCCCATCTTCAAAAAGGGAAGGAAGGAGGACCCAGGAAACTATAGGCCAGTCAGTCTTACCTCGATCCTGGGCAAGCTGTTCGAGAAAATTATTCTGGCACACATCCAGGAGGGGCCAGCAGGGAAATGCATGCTCAGGGGCAACCAGCACGGGTTCATCAGCGGCAGGTCATGTCAGACCAACCTGGTGGCCTTCTACGATCAGGTCACTAAATCATTGGATGAAGGGGTAGCAGTGGATATAGTCTTCCTGGACTTCCGGAAGGCTTTCGACACTGTCTCTCACCCCATTCTCATTAGGAAACTGGGGGACTGTGGCGTAGACACCCACACAGTCCAATGGGTCGCCAACTGGCTAGAGAGCCGCACCCAGAGGGTGGTAGTGAATGGGTCCTTCTCAGCCTGGAAGGACGTGGGCAGTGGGGTCCCGCAGGGCTCGGTCCTCGGGCCCGCCCTGTTCAACATCTTCATCAGTGATTTGGATGAGGGGGTGCAAAGCACCCTGTTCAAATTTGCTGATGACACCAAGATGTGGGGGGATGTGGGCACAATAGAAGGGAGCAACAGGCTACAGTCGGACCTTGACAGGTTACAAGGATGGGCGGAGAACAGGATGGGGTTCAACACAGACAAGTGCAAGGTGATGCACCTGGGGAGGAACAACCGGCACCATACCTACAGGCTGGGGAACTCCCCTCTTGTCAGCACGGAGGTGGAAAAGGATCTTGGAGTCATTATCGACTCCA